GAAAACGCCCCATCACTATCATCTTGGTTTTGATGTTGCAGTTTTTTAATATTATTGTTCGCAATAAGAGAACTTTTGAAATCTTCAATATCAACCTCTTCTTCCTCCTCCGTAGTTTGGTTCTGCTCTTTCTTCTTGGAGGTTTTGGACCATGAACTTGCAATTACCCCCGCAGCACTACCAATCACAGCTCCAACGGCAGTTTTGTTATTCAAAATGCTTGGTTCAGGAGAAGCGGCGGCAGTGGAGTCATCATTTGTTAGTATGTTACCTCTCGCATTAGTAGACTTGATCTGAGGAATTGTATCTTTCAAAGAAGAGACTTCTTCAACGGTTTGACCTGCAGCATCATTTCTCAGTGAATTGTCCACAGACTTCTTCAATCCATTGACATTTTTAGAAAGTAGAGATCTCTCATCTTCTATTTTCTCTTCATCTTGTGGAGGTATACTAGCTTGTTTCTCAATCGAAACACCACTCAAAATTGGCCCATTTTTGATAGTAGGTTCTTCAGTCTTGACAGAGCCAGAGCTCTTAGGATTTTCCAACGCGGTAGTTACCTTTTTTTCCGTTTCAGAAAATCCAATGAACAAGTGTTCTGGAGATTCAGCTGATGAATCTTTCTGTTCAATCACGTTGTTGACTTTATTAGATGAAGAATTAACAACATGGGCTTTTGGACTAGCTTTTGGACTGGCCTTTGGGTTAACCTTTGGACTAGCCTTTGGACTAGCCTTTGGACTAGCCTTTGGACTAGCCTTTGGACTAACCTTTGGAGTGAACTGTGGGCTTGTCTTTGCACTTTGATCTTGTTCTTCAAACTGTTTCACCTTTGAGAGAATCGCCTGAGAAGATGATTTCCTCAGTCCTAGACCAGTTGCCTTTGTTGTCGAATTCGGTGATTTCACGATTTCTGGTGTAAAGCGTGCCATTACTGGACTAATATTCAAGGAAGGCTTGATATCGGAAGGTTGACCACCTTGGAAACGATCGAAACTTCTAGAAATTGATGGCGAATCCTTTGTCAAACGGAATGGCTTAGTACCAATATTGTTATCCATGTCTGTATTCAAAGATGGTGGAACTCCTGTTGTTGCTTGGTTGGAGCTGCTAACTGATCTTGAAGAAGACTTGGCCATTCTTAAAGGTCTGACCGGTGAGACCTCAGTATTACTGTCCAAGGTGGACTCACCAGAAAATCTCTTTGCATTGATTTGAGATGTAGAGGCCATAGCAGAAGCCACAGCAGAGTCCAAGTCGTTATTAAGTTTAACATCTGCAACAAGATCACAGACACTGAATACCACTTCAGATACTGCTCGTTGAATGATCAGTTTTGGCATAATCTCCGAGTACAATGTGAAATATCTTGTTGATGTGATTGCGTGTGATACCGATGCACGGATCAGCTCTGACTTGTCAGAGTTTGCAGCATATTTTGCAATTTTCGATGCATAATCCGAGATATAGGATATACAGTCGAAAAACACATCAGGACTCTGTACCAACGATGAGTCATTCAGTTTTATCAGAAATGATCTGACAGATTCCTGTAACTGAGTTAACAAGTTTGATGGAATCAATCCATCTCTAGAAACAAATTTTTCCATAGCTTCATCTGAAATGGTATCGAGAGCCAGATACTCTTCCACTTTTTGCACTTTCAACTGATCGTACTTTGCTTTCCAATCATCATCGTTAGTAAGGTCATACAACTGTGTAGAACGGGATTTCCCTTGGACTTCTTGGGCTTCCTGATCACCTTTAGAAGATATCTCGGATTCCAACTTGGCAATCTTATCCATCAAGTTGCCTTTAACCTCTTTAAGATTTTCATTTTCAGTTTCGAGCTTTTCTAATTTGGACTGTAACAATGCATTTTTCTGTTCAAGATCTGTGATCTTCTCGTCCATTTTTGTTCCTTCTGAAAGGAGTAACTCAATCTCTCTATCTTTGTTTCTACTTTTGGAAAATGATAACCCATGTTGCAGTCCACGAGACGTTTCTGTGACCGGAATATTTGTAGAATCGGCCTCTTTCAGAGGTAAAGTAGGAGAGGAACGCAGCTTCTTCTCATTCGCAGGTACCAGGGCTGGAATATCACCCTTGGATATCTCTAATGATTTTGTTTTCGTATGACTAGTGTTGAGAATCTTCAAAGAGTCATCTGGATCCTCCTCTTCCTCATCAGATGTCCATGTCATTTCGGCTTTGGTTGGAATCACAGATGAAGGTTGCAACGTCTTCAGTGTATTCTGTGGTTGTTTTACCTCCTCCATTGCAGAGTCGTCAACTGTCAAGTTGTTCGTGTTGTTCTTCGGTGGGGTTGAAGTGTTGTCCAAATCGTGTGCTTGTATTTCTGATACTGATCTGTCAGTAGTTTCTGGCACACCAGTCTGAACTCCATTTGGCACACCAGTCTGCGTAGCAGTTGGCAAAGTTGTTGGCGGTACCACAGGAGATCGAGCTTTACTCACAGGCTCCACGTTCTTCACTGGCTCATCCTCCCTAGGCAGGTGTAAGCCTCTTCGCTCAATCTCATAAAAGATATCGCTGACCAAGTCTCTAAACCTCCCCGGCTGCAAAGAACCCAACTTCTCTCTGGCTTCGTTTCTTTTCGGGTGAAACTTCGCCATGGGAAGTAGAAAGTCCGGCTCCTCCTGCGACTCGCTGATTCTTCTCTGCAACTCGTCGTACACGTCTGTACTCAACTCATAGAACTGTGTCATCGATAGCTTCAGGAGCTTTCCCCTAGCCTTAGCCGCCCTGTTGGGGTTCGACTTCTGAGGAGCCACAGACATCGAGAGAAACTGCTTCAGAGCATTGTAGTACTCCATGAGCCTCTCGTAGTGGTCGCTGGTTAAGGAAGACATCGCTCTCTCGCTTCTCGTGACCTTCTAACCTAGCCGCCGTGCTGTGTTTACGTCGATTAGATGGAAAACAATGAGGTCGAATCGAAGAGCAGCCGCGAGAGATTTTTTGGACGCGTTTTTTTCTTTCTTTGAGGCTTTAGACCGCAAAAAGGTGCTTTTGTGTTCGTGTTCCAGGTGGTGTTTACTCTTTGTGGATAATTTCCTATTTGGGCTGTTTACATTTGCGTGTGTTTGTTCTACGCGTCAGCGGTTTGTATGTAATCTTGTGTTGTTTATCTGATACTATGGACAATTAAGCGCCATACAAGGACGAAATTGATGTATGAGTCGAGATGCTATTAGAGGGGGGAAGTTAGTAATCACCGAGCTCCACAGCTCTCACTTTGGATTGGAAGGCATCCTTATCGAGATAACAACCTTTCAACCATCTTTCCCCGGACTGAGGGTCAAACTCGTCACGTGCGTGTAGCACTCTTCTGTTGTCGAAGATCACGCACGTACCTTCATCGGTCTTGAACTTGACCTTGTTCAGAGGATCGTTGATGAAGTCTTCAAACAGCTTCATACCACGGAGGAAGTCTTGGAAGATCTCGCTCTCCTTGGTGTTTGGCTCCAGGCCGTAGTCGTAAGGCGCTTGGAAAGGCGGTGAGTAGTTCACCTCTTCCAGGAACCCAGGCTGGGAAGTGAACTGACGCTCAACAACAAGAGGATGTGAATGGAAGTAGTGATGGCCATCTCTGTTGAAATGGAAGTTGATAGGAACGGTCTTCAGTGCTTCATAGGCAGCAGGGTCGACTTTGGCAACGTGCTTGGCTGCTGCAAAGGAGTCTGCAAAGACGTTCTCACCACCGGTGGCTCTGTTTCTAATACAGTGTAGCAGCTGTAAGCCCGGTGGAGACTGGTAATAGCAAAGGTCGTGGTGTAGTGGTAGGAACTTTGATGTGTATGCAATGTTAGTTGCGCCAGGCTTGGACTTCACGTCAAAGGTATATCCGTAAAACGTTGGTCTGATATAGCCAATTCTACCACCGATCTTGGAAACAAGGAGCTGTTTGTCTTGCTCCTCAGCAGAAAGATCAGGAATGTTACCAATCACAGCAAGTCCAAACTTGTGCATATCACGCACAACTTGTGCCAACGTTTCACGAGTGTTGATATAATCGTGATAGTCATAATATGGCAGCTGCGGATATTTGGACTCATCAGAAGGATCCCACAGTGTCACCAGATCCTCGTGGTATCTACCTCTGAATTGCGATTCTCTCGTCGAGTGCTTCTCCAAGAACTCCTTCGAGTATACGTACTCATCACCGTCAGACCATTTCACTTTGACGCTTGAATCGTTGACAACGCCCAGCTCAACAGGGAATACATCACCAATCTCACCAGTGGTGAACAGCTTTTGACCTGTGTTACCGTCAAGGGAGGTCTGGGACTCTGAAGCATCCCTCAGAAACGCATTTGTATAAGAGTATTTGACATTTCCCCCATCAAATGAGAACTGGATCGACCCCTGTGCTGGGGAAACATTCACAGAACCTTTGTTCACGGAGCTCGCAAGCTGTGAAACAGATCTCTTTGACTGAACTATCAATCTTCTCAACATTGCACTGGTTTAACCCAACTGTGCTATCCCTTCCATGGAGAAATTTGTGGGGTGAGTTTATCGGCACCAAATTTCAGACATGATGCGATCTCGGGAAGTTCACAGCGCAGACGAGGACATAAATGGTGTTTGGGTGTATGCGTGTGTCCGGGTGTTTACGTAAGCAGTCTATATGAGGTCCTCATTGATTTTATAGAAGTGATACAAGATGTGGCTACTTATGGAGCGAATCGGTGTCAGAGGTTGTTATTAAGGAGCATTCTTCATTCGTACTATACATGCAACTCATCCACGTGGCATCGTTTCATTGTTGTTGTTTGTTTTGTGGTTTCAACGGCCAAAGATGCCAAAGAACCCTTTCTTCTTATCAGATGAATTGGCCTCATTACCAGCTTGAGCTTTTGTAACAGCAGGTGTGGCTTGCTGTTGAGGTTGAGGTTGATCCTGCTGATGGATGTAGTTGAATGCAACGTCGAACAACACAGGTTTCACTGAGATGGGGGTCATGTTCAAGTTGACAATAGTTGAATCTCTTGTTAATCCCCTGGAGACGTCATCAGCAAGAGAGTCACTCGTGGAAGATTGGGAGAGCTGGGCTAAGATCTGTGAGTTTGTCACCAAGGTCTTGACCTGTGTATGTAACTCCTTCACGGTGTCTTCATTGATGAATTCGAATGGTATCGAGATCTTTACGTCTTCAAGGGATTCGCACACTTTTGAAGATAGCAAGAGTGACTCTTTGAATTGCTTCTGTGAAAAGTAGAAGTCTGCAATGTGTTTCAACTTCAAGGCGTTGTAGTAGTGTTTCATGCCTTGGAGAGTCTCGTATAACTCGTCATCGTTGAAAACACCAGGAATCTCTTCTAATGACTCAACTTCCTGGTTGATCTTGTCGAGTAACGTCAACGCCTCGGTAGGTTTAACAGTGCCCAAGAGTTTAACATTACGTCTTAACGAGGTCAGCACGTGGGTGTATTGAAGGTACGAGGTCAAGATCTCGTCATCCTCTTCCTTGATCTCGTTCTGTAACCACATACTATGTGATTCAGATGCCTGCGAGATCAAGTTGTTCAAAGTGTCAAAGTCATCCATGGATTCCAATGGACATGTCTGGATCTTGTAGAGGGTTCTGCCGAGAGAATCGTCTTTGATCTTGGCTGTGTACGATCTCCATTGCAATTCCTTGACAGATTTTGATTCACCAGAAGGTTTCAAGAATGAATCGTCAACAGAAGAGATCAACTGGTACACCCTTGAATCAGAGCGTAGCGAAACAACACTCTTTGCAACTTCGCCAATATCCGAGGAATAGTTCTTTGAGGACTTGTGAATAGCACCGATCAACAAAGAATCAATATCTGAGTCAATCACACCTTTATACTTCCCGAAGTTTTCGGCGTTTCCATGTTCCTCGAGGAACTGGAGCCCAACTCGTGCCAATGACAACTGGGCAATGGCACTGTCCCATTGCTTCAATGCCATTGACTGCTGGGCATTGATGAATTCCCTGTACACCAACAGCTCTAGCTCGTTGGTACTGTTGGCATCAATACCACCGACCAATTGAACCAAGGAGTCACACTCTTGAACTGATCTCTTCAACCTGGTGAGGAATAACTTGTGCTTAGCCCTGGTGTCCAACTTGGCATCCAACTGCGACAGGCTCTTCAGCTCCATCGCATAACAGAAGTCCCTCTCCAATGAAAGCAACGCAATGAGCCAATACTTGTAATCCTTACCAACATCCTCTGCACTGATGCTGTGATGTGAGTACTGTTTGGTCTTACGCTGTTGAATAGACAGGTACTTTCTCAGCTTGTGAACACGTCTCACAACCCTGGTACGGATGCGCTTGTAGTCCTCTGCATCTGCAACATTATGGTTGGCCCATGTGAGAGCAAAAGGAGAGTCCATTGTGATCGCTTTCCTCTCTAATCTGTCCCACTTTGACCAGCTAGAAATGTTGAATAAAGCTGTTTTCGTGTGGCCGTTTGTTCGTCGAAAGCCGTTGATCGAAATTTTCAGCTGGAAAAAATATTACGTAATACTTCGGTAGGTGATTATATAAGCATGGCACGTGTTTGGACATCGTTAAGTCACGTGATGCATGATGACCGAGGCCAGCTTCATCGAATTGAAATATTACAACTGTTCGATATCCCAGATCACTCACCAATTGTTCAGCAAGGACTTCACTGTGGAACTCACTATCACCCTCTCTCTCTATGAACTCCTCTGCTCTTCTTGTTGTGTACGTTTTGGGTATCTATGCCTCCTTCCTAACATGGGGTGCCTTGCAAGAACAGATCACATCGTATACACTCTCTGATGGCTCACAATTCAACGCACCGTTCGTGATCAATCTGTTCCAGAACTCCCTTGCGTGCCTTGTTGGGTTGTGCTTTGTTCAATTGACGTGTCCAAGAGTCCAAAAATTCCACTTAGACGTTGTTAAGCCGGTGTGTCTCGTGTCGTTGACCCAATCACTGAGCTCTCCACTGGGGATGATGAGTACTTCATACGTTGGCTATCTGCTATACACCTTGGCGAAGAGCTGTAAACTTGTTCCTGTTATGTTTGTCCATAAAGTGTGGTATAAGGAGAAGTTCCCCTTGTACAAATACGTTGTTGTTGGGATTGTAACTGTGGGTGTCTCGTTATTCTCCATTGGTGGTAAAGAGATGGACCACGGCGAACAGTTGTTGATAGGATTGGCCTTGTTGATGTCGAGTCTGCTATTGGATGGTGTTACAAATGCGACTCAAGACGTCATGTTCAAGAATCTGAAGCTCGATCCAGCACATTTGATGTTTTTGCTCAATTTTGTCAGTACGCTGTTGACCTTGGTGTATTGCACCGTTTCTGGCCAGTTAACATACTCAGTAAGTGTCTTTTACACAGATCCTAGGCTGATCTACGAGCTGATCTGCTACGGACTGTGTGGAGCACTGGGTCAGATCTTTATCTTTTTAACGTTACACAGGTTTGGGTCGCTCATTCTCATCACAGTCACGGTCACAAGGAAGATGATGTCGATGATGTTGAGTGTCATTGTCTTTGGACATAGGCTGACAGTGATGCAGTGGGCTGCTATATGTCTAGTGTTCTCTGGAGTTTCATTAGAGGCTTACTATAAATCGAGACCAAAGGTTAAGACTGCCTAAACAAAAGCTGGTTAAATAGATGATAAAAAGTTTGATACCGATTCGTTCAATACCGAGAATGACTCTGGCTTGGACTTGGAGCCACAGTTATGCGTAGCACCTGGAACAACCTTGGACTCTTTGCTCAAATACTGCGATGGTACAAATGAACTCCAATGCTCCACTAAGCTCTGCTTGTCGACAGTTGAAGGAACAAACTCGTCATCGCCAGAGTATAAGAACGCCAACGGCTTGTCTACTTTGCCAAAGGTCGAGCGTAGCTGTTCATCTGACAGGTCCGAGGAGAAGTAGTCGTCGTCTCCGCCTTTCAGGGACATCGACAGCCATCTATAGCACGTCATTGGAGCACCAAAGAACTTATCAGAGTACTCCCTTGGGATGATGTACTCTGCTCCGTGCGCCTCTTGCAACTTCAAGATGGCCTCATTTATACGTCCCAGTTCCTCGTGCCCCATCGACATCTCCATTGCTTCACGGTCGCTCACAGAGGCCTGCAGAATAACACCATCGACGTCCTTGCCATTTGTCAGTAGATAATGGATGCAGTCCTGCGTCCCTGTGGAATGGCCCATAAGGACGATTTTCCCCTTTTTCTCGCTCTTGAGGTATTGAACCAGCAGTGCCATCTCCTCCACGTCTCTGTCCAAGGAGCCCAGCCCCCAGCCTGTGTATGACGAGGAGAACAACAAGTTGTACACGCACCATCCTTGTGGGAGCGTAAGCCTCTCGACGTAAGGAACAGTTAACAGCCCATCGCCCAGTCCTCCGATGAAGATGAGCGCATTCTCACCGCCACCATCACCCAGCTCAAACGCCGTGACGTTGCTGCTGATCCTGTGCACCTGTCCCTTCACCACCATCGCTCAATTGGCCAAATCTAACGGGAACTTGAGGCAATTGAGAGAAGAAAGAGAAGAAAGACAAGACATAATACACGCATTGATGCGCTTTTTAACATGTCTCAGTGCTGCGCTTGCCCAATGCGGAAACTCGATGCGCTCCGCTGAAAGTTTCACATAGCATAGCCCACTGCAACAGCTTTCACTGCCAAATCAGAGAGAGAAATTACGTAGCCAGCATCAATTGATCGATGAGATGAGGTGCTTGGAGGTTCTGTTGTGCCGTATCACCGTGCTCTTCCCGAAGGTTCTTGTTGTTTCTCTCTATTCGTATGCTCTATACGTTGAAACGGTTGATATTGTGTTCCTGAAGGACGGTATTCTATGGAGCGTTGGTGGAGCAATCAGTTTGATACTGTACGCCTATGGGCTATACACCTACTTCCAGGTGGTCCGGATTGGCTGTGGATCACCGTTGGACTTCCCTGAGCTGTGTACGGGGCTCGAAGAGGACTCGTCGTTCCAGAATGAGCCTCCGCAGTTCATATCGGAGAGGTCGATACAGGTGAAGTCTGCTGGTACGCTGCGATACTGTAAGAAGTGTCATTGCTGGAAGCCTGATAGAAGTCACCATTGCTCCAGCTGCAACAGGTGCCAGCTGAAGATGGATCATCATTGTCCTTGGTTTGCTCAGTGCGTTGGCTACCGCAATTACAAGTTCTTTATCCAATTCCTCATATGTACGGTGCTCTATTCGCTTGTGAACCTGGTGATCAGTGGGATCGACATCTACGACTTCTTCAAGTCAGAGAAGTATAAGGAGGTCACTATCCTGCTGAATGTGATACTGCTCGGTGTGCTTGCGCTGACGATGTTCTTTGCAGTAGGAGTGTTCATGGGCTTCACGCTGTACTTCCTCTTCCATAACATGACCACGATAGAACACTACGACATGGTGCGCTATAGGAACAATTTGAACTTGATCAACGATGCCTACTATTCATTGTCTCAGCAGCCGAACTCGGATACCATGGGCAATGCCTTTGACTTGGGCTGGAAGCAGAATTGGCGTGAAGTTATGGGTGCAAACTGGCTAGAATGGATCAAACCGAGTGAGAACCAGTACAAAAGAATGGACTACTACGATAACAGAGGGCTATACTTTGACGTTGATAACGAAGTCCTGACAAAGTTGCAGAGGAACACTGCTCTACAACAACAGCTCTTAGATCAATTGAGACAAGTCCAGTCGAGACAGTGATCGGTCATCTATTCAACGAACACGCTCAACACGTTCAATCTCTTTCTAAGGGAATCAACTTGTTGTTTGGCTAAACTGTCACGTTTGGCAAACATCTTCTCCAATCTTGTGAATTCCTTTGAAAAGAAGGCCTCCTCACCATTGAGCAACTTGTTCAAGAGCTTCTTATAGTACTCTTGGCCTGCTTCCAAGGAATCAACAACAGACTTGATTGCAGCTTGCTGTTCTTCACCCTCCAGTTGCAACAGCTCCTTCACCTTTGCATCCAGTTTGTCAAAACGACCAGCTTGCTCATCAAGAGTACCATCAACGGTTCTGTGTGTACCGGAGACTTCGTTGACCCAGTTAACCAGCCCGTCAATACTTCTATAACTGCCAAATGGAATGACCTCCGGGTTGTTCTTCTTGAAAGTAAGAATGGTTGGGAAACCTGGAACCTCGTATCTCGCCTGAAGCTCCTTTGCTGGACCGTCAGTGGTGGACACCTCGGCAATGATAATGTCATCATCATCTTTGAAAATGGTAGCCAACTTCTCCCACTCAGGGTGTAAGTTCTTACAGTGTCCACACCAGGACGCTGTAAACACAACGTAAACGTCCTTACCACTCTGTAACAACACTTCGTCAAAGTCCAAATCGGACACTTGGACGATATCGCTCTTGATCTCAGGGATGTAGACATATTCGTGGGTGTTTTCGCCGATGAACTTCACAAGCGCATCGTGCTCTCTGTCTCCTGAATAGTCAACAGGGTCACTCAAGTCCTTTCTAAACAGCTTCAGAGTAGGGAACCCTTGGATGCCAAATTGAGAACAAATGACTCTATTCGCTTCACACTCAATTTTGGCAATCTGGACGTCAGAGTTTTGGTAAGTTTCACCCAGCTTCTCATACTTCGGTGCCAGACTCTTACAGTGACCACACCAGCTGGCGTAGAACTCGACAAGTGTGTCCTTTCCACTCTCGTAGACAACTTGATCAAAGTTATCGCTTGTCAAGTCGATAACTTCAGCAGTTGCTAGAGACGCTAACCCAGCAATTAAAACACCAATTGAAAGCTTCATAGTGATGCTCGTAGTCTTATATCTTCAGCAGGGCTTCGAGATTGGATCAAAACAGCACCAGAGGGTGGATTGTAGTGTTCTTCGGCGATGAAACCAACGTGTCTTGAAGACACGTATTAGTTGGTGAAGCTAAGCCGGGTGTGCAGGTGTGCGGGTGTACAGGTGTGTGCGGACTTAACGGACGCGTTCGGAGTTAAGCTTATGTAATCAGCGCAGGGCTTACGTTCCCGGTGGACTGGTTGTCCCGGCAACGATTAACCATATACTGTTCGCTTTATCCTCCTTGTTTAAAACGCTTCTGCTCTCTTCAACAGAAGCTGTGTTACCGTGCTGTTCACCGAGGAGCCTATTTCAGGCCGTTTATCGTGTGTGGTGTCCCCCCAGTGTCGTGATATGTCCTTTGATTGGCTCATTTGTCAGTAATTACTATATATAATTCCTCTCTAATGCGCCCGTTGTCTCTTTCAACATGAGAGCTTTCTCTCGCTGAACGTATATAAACATCCCAATCAGCTTTTCTCTTTATCCACTACGCTCTTCTCTCACTATATCATTAGTAACCGTCAGAGTATGTCCGTTCTTGCAAACGATACACGTATTGTCTCGACCAGGGAGGCCCTTGACAGAGTAACGTCCCAAGCATCTTTCTTCGATAACGTGGTTGTTAGAACTTTGGATGCTTATCAGACGCTATTCCTCAGTTTTGCTACAGAGTTCTGTGCGAGAGCGTTGGAAAAGATGCTGTCATCCAGAGGAATCATGTTGATTCCTGCAATTACCCTTGATTGCTTCTTCTGCATGTTTGGCTTTGTCACTGCAGTAAAGATCACAATGATCAAAGTTGTGCTCATAATTGCACATAATTCGACCCGTCCGGTGACTCCACCAGGCCCTGGGAGCACAAAGCGTCAGTCAGTGACCATCAACAAGATTGGAGCCGTTGAATTGATCGATTTTATCGACTTCCTGATTCCTGCAGAGGTTGCAGAGCACATTGTCATTGGCTTTGGTGTCATTCCAAAGAATAGTGTTTATCACCTGGACGACGAAACGTTACAGCTGGAGTTTCAGAAGTATGGCTACGAATCTGTGCAGCAGCTGGTACTGTTTGACAATACAGAGGGCTCAAGGGGTTATAGGAATGTGTTGTTCGATGCATTCTATGCAGTACACACAGATGGGTTCCATAGTTTGGTGCTTAGTGCCATCTTTGGCCCATTGGGCTTGCTGGAAGCCGTGTCCAGCGCACACTGGAACAATGGCTCCTTTGAGCCAACGAACGGGCTAAGCACGGAGTGGTGTACCCTGTCAAGCTTCGTAAAGAAGGAAGTTGACGATGATTACCTCAGTGCCTATAGAACCCGTTTATCAGCAGCACAGGAGTCAGCGGAGTTCAACGGGTGCATTTCCGGCTCAATTGACAGTACAATTGGATATGGCCAATACTGGAGCAACTCAATTGGAGGTGTGAATGGTGATTGTAACTGTTAAACAGAGGCATAACATCCCATATCGTGTTATATGACTGAGATGCAATTTTGGCGCAATAATGGCTCTAGTTTTCCAGATCGGGTAATTACGCTCGTATAGAGCGAAAAACAAACCCGCTGCTTCGCCAATTTTTCACCGAATTTTTCTCGTTTGGCGCGATGTATTTCCTAAACCGGAAATAAAGGGATAAGCAGCGCCGACCTCTGAACGAGTTTTCGAAATTTTGTTCAGACGAATCGTTTGATAAAACACATCAACACGGTGGTAAAATACACGAAAGAGCACCTTCCGTTGAAACGAGAATGGGTAAATTACTCCAATTGGCTCTTCATCCCGATGAATTGGCGTCTATCGTCCAATTGTATGTGATCTGATTGTGCTTTCGTGCCCATGTTACTGACCTGGTGTGTAGTAAGCTGTTCAGAAAGAACGAGAATGCTCGTAATCCAGCCACGGAATCAGCTGAGTTGATCCGTTGTTATGAACTGTTGAACTTGACGTCGCGCTCATTTGCTGCTGTGATCGAGGAACTGCACCCCGAGCTGCGTAACGTGATTATGGTGTTCTACTTGGTGTTGAGGGCACTGGACACTGTTGAAGATGACATGAGCATTGAAAACAGTGTCAAACTCCCCGTGCTGAGACAATTCCACGAGAAGCTCGACACAAAGGACTGGACGTTTGACGGCAACTCGCCAAATGAGAAGGACAGATGTGTTCTTGTGGAGTTTGACCGTATCTTGGGCCAGTACCATGAACTGAAGCCTCAATATCAGAAGGTTATAAAGGAGATCACCGAGAAGATGGGCAACGGTATGGCTGACTACATCGAGAATGAGAACTTCAACAGCAACGGGCTGTTGACCATCGAGGATTACGACTTGTACTGCTATTACGTTGCCGGGCTGGTGGGCGACGGCCTGACCCAGCTCATCGTGCTGGCCAAATTCGGCAACTCTGAGCTGTCGTCGAACAAGCAGTTGTTCAAATCCATGGGGTTGTTCTTGCAAAAGACCAACATCATCAGAGACTATGAAGAAGACCAGGTTGACGGCCGTGCATTCTGGCCAAAGGAGATCTGGGGGAAGTACGCCAATGAGCTGTCCGACTTCATGAAACCAGAGAACCAATCCCAAGGGCTGTGGTGTATCTCTGAGCTTGTGTGCAATGCTCTGGACCATGTCATTGACGTGCTACAGTACCTAGCATTGGTTGAAGAACAGACAAGCTTCAACTTCTGTGCCATTCCGCAAGTCATGGCCATCGCTACCCTTGAGCTCGTCTTCCAGAACCCCCAGGTACTCACACAGCATGTAAAGATCAGAAAGGGAACCACCGTGTCCTTGATCTTGGAGAGCAGAACCTTGGAAGGCTGTGCCAGAATCTTCAGACGTTATTTGAGAAAGATCCACCACAAGTCCCACCCTTCAGACCCAAACTACCTGAGACTGGGCATCACCATTGGTAAGATTGAGCAGTTCCTCGATGGCATGTACCCCCACTACGTCCCAAAGGGCATCACTCCTCAGACCACCTCCATCAGAACACAGGTTGTGAAGAGATTACAGCTGGATGAGCCTATGAAGAGGGATATCGACGAGGAGATACTCAAGACAAGGATCCTGCTGTTGTCTCTCGGCGTCGCAGTGTTTGGAGTTGTATATGGAGTAGTTCGTATCATTTAGGTCCCTGTAATTTGATAAAGATATAGTATGAGTACAAGTTGATCTGTAGTGCTTCGGTACAGTGAACGCGATCTGGACCTTCGCTAAGGCTCTGGTAAATCCCGAATCACCGGTACCTTCACGATCAACTTGCGCTGCGCGGCCCGTCGGGTGTTGACTTTAATGCCTGGTCCTTCGTTTAATAGGATGATGATGATTTTTGAAAGTAACGAAACCAACGCTTAAAAAAGTTTTGTAAAACTGTAGCGTGAGATTTCGTATGTGTAGTTGCAAATGTGTGTATGGTGTGGACCTGTTAGAATGATACTAATCTGAGTCCTGTTAGTATGAAAAAGATCCATCTAGCACTTTATGAATTGAAAGAGGACATCTCAAAGATCAAAAATCACTCTTGCACAGAGTATTCATAAAAGTAAAGCGACCTGTAGACCTTTCCCTTACACTGAAATTGAAGTCTGTACTGCTGTTATTGCTTCTGCGCACCACGGCAAACACATTAGCCTCTGGTAATAAAGAAGGACAATGTTCTGCATTTTTTCGTGCCGTTGGTTCAATATTGGTAAATTCAACAATGGTCTCATCTCTTGCCAATCCCATCTCTGTAATTTCCTGTCGACCCATTTTCTAGCGGTATATAACAGCTGTGCATAACGATTGTTTTGAGAGAGGAATTCACCAATTTTGCTAATGTAGTCCTCAAGTTTATCATATTCTTCATCATTTCGAAGAACACCTCTAAGCAATTCAAGATGACGATTTGTAGCTAATCCTGGATCTAGTGTAAAAATCACTGTAAACTTCTCTTGGCCATTTTCTTGAGCTATCATGCCATCAACTCTATGGAATAAACGTCCGTTGATGTGATTGAATAAGTTCCATTTCTCGAATCACCGGTGCTGTTAGAACCCAAGGATGATATCAAAAGAACTGTATTGATTGTTCGAGAATATTTGGAAGTGATTGGATCCAATAATATATCCTTCATGTACTGTGGAGGCTCTTTGAATATGTCACAGAGTAAAACTTTTCCCCCATCACAACAAAAAGATGGTCATTCAGTATCGATAAGAAGACCATGGCAATAATCACAACACTTTTCAAGGCAACCTGGATTTAACTCCAAGTTATGTGCTCTCCATGGTCTTCGCTCTTGCTGTTGTTCATAAACTGGATCATCATTCTCCTTAAAACCGTCGGTGTCATCCTCGATGATGTGTTCAAAGCAGGGATCATAATCAAAAACACCATCACATCTAATTTCTTCTAATCCTCTATCTGTCACCTCTGCCTTGTTTCTTCGTCTACCTCTCATTATATCAGGCATAGTTTCATTATCAAGTTCAGGTTCAGGTTCAGTTAATGGCGGCTGTCGTGGTACATCTGTGATCTCTGCACGGGTATTCTGTTACAGACCTTGGAGGTTTCTTCGCTCCATACCCTCTTCTCATACCATCTCAGTTAGCCTATCTCAATAATTACCGAGTCTTCTTGTTTTGTCGTGCCTCCATTAGTTTGAACTTGCCGCTGTGGTTCTGGATTAGCCGCTGATGTTTCTTCACCAAGCTAAGGCCATCGTTGGAAGGTTCCAATGAGAGTTCTCCGGCGCTTCCTTGGTTGTCCTCCAGCCGTTCTTATTTACCTGCTTAATCCTTTGTTTATGGTCATTGTTTGGTGATGTTTTTAATGTTGTGTATAAAGCTGTATTTGTTTTGTGTCATTTCTGTGTTGATAAGAATTCAAAATGTAAACAATGCCAGAATTGGAAACATCCTTACATTTTTACGATTGCTAGGGCAACGAGGAGCCAGAATTATATATAAGAACACATATGGTGTGGACCATTTTGGAAACACTACTGATCCAATCAAGTTAAAAGTCAGTATATATGACAATGTAGATCAGTTATATGGTATGACAGTTCCAGTTCTCCCAAATTTTGTTTCGTTGTTGACAGATAAGCAAATCTATGTGTTTTCCTTGATTATACCATACAAACTATGAATAGTTATGTCTCAGAAACCATGAAAGATCATATGTTCATACTTTATCCATCTCTTAATTCGGGTAAGAGCTACATTGTGATACACTTTGGGAAAATTTGAAGGGGAGTTGCTATTTTTATTAGTATCATTCTAATTCTAATGGAAAAAACATAATCCCCGTGCGATAATGATTTATGCCTTATACGCAATTGCTGGGGAAAAGGCATATACGAGGCAAATGGCTCACATATTCCTATTCACGCTGAACTGTGCAAAGGCCTCTCAACTGAGGTCGATAGCAGATGCCGTTGGAAGAAGTCTTCCTGAGGAGTCGCCTGATCTGTTCGTATTTGGGTTCCAGGAGCTCGTGGAACTTCTGCCCTCGCTGACCCCTGGTGTTGTAGATGAAGAGCTGAGCCAGCTGAAGGCTCTGATTGCGACGACGATCGAGGAGAAGTATGGCATTGAAGTCTTCAAGAGCGTGAACAGCTCTGTGGGTGCTATTGGGAGCTTTGTGCTGAGTGTAGGCCCAATTGAGAGTGTGCTTGAGGCCTCAACCACCTGTGGACTGATGTACTCATCGCTGAAGGGTGGATGTGGCCTCCGCATCAAGTACAACCACCAGTACTACACCTTTGTCACGGCACATCTGAGTGCCAATGAGGGCCAACTGGCGAGACGTATCCAAGACTCGACAAAGGTGTTGAGGGGGCTACAATTCGGTGATGGATGGTCTGTTCTTAGACCCCAGTCGCATGTGTTCTTTATGGGAGATTTGAACTTCAGGTCACGGTCGGGCGATGCCTTGCTCAGCAATGACGAGCTGATTCCAAGCATGAGCCGTGGCGAGTGCTTCCCTGGGTTCGACGAATGTGCCATTGCTTTCAAACCTACTTATAAGTTCAACATCGGAACAGACACCTACAACAAGAAGAGAATCCCATCATGGTGTGATCGTATCCTCTTCTTGAAATACCCACGGATTGTTAAATCTGAGTACCAATCTGCTCCTGTGCTGACATCTGACCACCACGCAGTGTATTTGGATCTAACAGTCGATCAACTACCAGCCGAGGCTGTCTCTACAAGAGGTCAAATAACATCACAAGCTGGTGAAGTCGTTGATATGTCGTTAAGCACAACAGTTCAACTCGATGCCATTCTCAGGCTGGTTGGCGATTTTGTCGTTTGGAAATCGCTCTGGTTGACTCGGACCACACTGGGACGGGTGCTACTGTGTACTTTGGTGCTTGGATTGTGCTATATGGTTCTATAACTGGCTCTATAATTACAGCTTACCATCACCACTTTGTAGTGCCACGTGACTGTGCACGTGCCCATTAGCTCATCGCACGTGATATCACTCGGGTGTCACGTGATCTCAAGCGTGGTGTCCGGGTGTCTCCTCCACGATGTCCGCCATCGAAGCATCCACCACTTTTTTCCACTCCTTCGAAATGACCTTTTTCCCAACAAAACTTCCCCCTTCCTCCCTTCTTCTTCCTCTTCTTGTTCCCCTACACCAATTGATTACACAGATGGCTTACACTACTCGCCAAATCGGTGCAAAGAACACCTTGGACTACAAGGTGTACATTGAGAAGGATGGTCAACCAGTCTCTGCTTTCCACGACATTCCGCTCTACGCTGATGAATCCAAGCAGATCCTTAACATGATTGTTGAGATTCCAAGATGGTCCAATGCCAAGTTGGAGATCTCCAAGGAACAAGAGTTGAACCCAATTATCCAGGACACCAAGAAGGGTAAGTTGAGATTTGTCAGAAACGTGTTCCCTCACCACGGTTACATCCACAACTATGGTGCGTTCCCACAGACCTGGGAGGACCCAAACCAGACCCACCCAGAGACCAAGGCCAAGGGTGATAACGATCCATTGGACGTCTGTGAGATTGGTGAGGCTGTTGGTTACACCGGCCAGGTCAAGCAAGTGAAGGTTCTTGGTGTCATGGCGTTGTTGGACGAAGGTGAGACCGACTGGAAGGTGATTGTCATTGACGTCAACGACCCATTGGCTCCAAAGTTGAACGACATTGAGGACGTTGAACGTCACTTGCCAGGTTTGTTGAGAGCCACCAACGAATGGTTCAGAATCTACAAGATCCCAGATGGAAAGCCAGAGAACCAATTTGCATTCTCCGGTGAGGCCAAGAACAAGAAGTACGCTGAGGAAGTCATCCGTGAGTGTTCTGAGGCCTGGGAGAAGTTGATCAAGGGTCAAACCTCCCCAGATGGTATTGCATTGACAAACACCACTTTGGACGGCACTGATTCATTCTCTACTTCTGTTGCAGTTCCAGCTGGTGAGGATTTGAAGGATGCTCCAATTGACAAGTCCATCGACAAGTGGTTCTTCATCTCTGGTGCATCCGCTTAAAATTAGTGTTTCCTAAATACATAATAGTCTGCCCTGGGCAAGCGAGATGTAGCTCACACGCCTTTTTCGTCCCGTTCATCACTGTGGAGGCTGTTCTTCCTCCGCCTGCTCCGCCTGCTCCGCCTGCTCCGCCTTCTCCTCTGCCTGTCCATCCTCCTGTTTGCTACCAAGATGAGGGAATGTCTTGTACACCAGGAAACCTGCAATCGCAACAACAACTGAAGCACCAATAACCACGAGGGACTGCTTTCTGTTAACCTTCAAGCTCATTTCGAGTACTTTAATCCGTGTGTGCGTGGATGGTGTGTGATTTCTGGGAGATTTCGCCCTGGCTCGTTGCCATTGAGGAGGAAAACGGGGAAAGAGATAAGGAATTGGTCATTGATATATATACACCATCATCCAGCACTGATATCCTCATCGGTATTTGGATTTGATTTTCCGCTATAAGTTTCCTGATCGGGAAAGAACATCCGATGGTCTGAGGCCACCTGTGGTTACTGCAGTTACCCATGTTACCGCCGCAACGGGTTAAAATCACAAGGCCACAAACCGCCTGAAAACGTAAACAAAGCGATGGAGGGCATAACGTTGAATGTTTTGATTTGTTTTGATCTGATTTGTCCGGTTGAACTGCTTCAGCATGGACAGAGAGCAGAGGAAAGAGCAGAGGACTCGTGGTGCTGGGTATGGGGATCTCGTGTAAACGCGTTGTTCGTGATGATTGAATACTAACAGCCGGTGTGTGTGCTTGCTTTAAAGATCACGTCGATTGCAGACCGATGATGTTGTTATAAAGACTCCCAAGCAGTGGCTACCAGTGTCGCAAGACCCTGGAGCGCTGATTACTGAGGAGCGGAGTCAAATGAATAGCCCCTTGATGTATAGGAGGTTTGGTGTGGACATGGATGACCCGTATTTTAACAATTACGGTGATGACATGGACGTCAATGTTGAGCACCCGAGAACACCGAGGACGACGTTTGAGCCCGTCCTGAATAGCGGTAATAGGTCCATCGTTTCAGCGAAGGCGTCTCCTAATAAGAAGAGGAAGAGGATAAGGCTCGCCAAGTATGACGGCGACGATTCTGATGTGTATGGTGATGACTATGACGAAGATGACGAAAATGACGGTGACGGTGACGGTGACGACGATGATGACGATGATTATGGCAGCGGAGACGAGGGGAAGGTTAGGATCTCGAGACTTCCAACTTCAAGTGCAAGACTCACCAGTGTTGATCTTGTTATCCATCTTTTACAGTCAAGTAGTGCTTTTAGGTGTAAAGCTCTAGTTGGAGCCACAGTTGAACACCTATTGGACATATTAGATTTGAACATGGTTAACAACCATTATAGTTACAAGATTCAGGACTTACAGAACGAGAAGAAGTCGTTGAGAAGAGAAATACTCAGAGTAAGAGAGGAGGTGTCCAGGAAGAGCTCTCAATTGGAGCAGCAGAGGTTGAGGTACTCACGTCTAAGAAAGTTACTGTGTGCCAAATGGAGGTTTAACGGGAAGCTGGAGACGACGAAAACGCAGGTGAGACCCCAGATACTGGAAAGACTCAACAGGCTGAACAACGTATACGACCCACATTGGAATCTAGTGACAAGGCTAAGTCTACTCAACGAAAAGTTACAAGAACTGGACCAACAATCACAATAGTAAGTGTGTTGTGTGTATAAAATGATGTGAGTGAATGATACATTGAATCTGTGTTGTATGTACTAATTTCCCTCAATCATCTTCAATGAGTGCAAGGATCATTCTGTATAGGTAGTAGAAGAATAGGAACAGATGGAATCCCAATTTGATGAAGGACTCCTTCTTTTGCTTGTTCAAAGTTCTGAAGATTTCAGTGGCATCCAACAAGTGGTTGTTCTTGGTGATCTTCATCGCGTTGAAGACAACCAATGGCAAGTTCAGCAAGAACGTGAACCAGTGTCCTGTGATCAAGAACAGGAACGTTAAGAAGGCGTGTACTGCTGCCTCTGGAACGATGTACTTGTTCAACTTGTTACACAGCTCAATCGGGTTGATGTAATCACACTCCAAATCTCCGTACATAATGGTGAAGAACACCTGAAGGAAAAGATTCACTGCGTTGATGACAACAGCAGAGATAAAGAGGAAAGTACCGGACATCTCTTTCTTTGTTTCTGATGGCTTTTTCCGCTCGCTTTTGGTCGAATCTGACTGGGTTTGTTTATCTAAAAAGCTGTCCAGCTTTGATGATTTTTTTCCTTTTTTGCTAAAAGCGAAACGGAAAAATCCCTGAAAAATTTTTTGCGAGAAATTACGAATTTTTTTTCGCGAAATGTGAAATTTTCAGATCTGCGCTGATTTGCGAAAACTCTTACGAATTAGGAAATCTCTATTGCGCCAAAATTACCAACTATACAAGGCCCTGTCTCTTCAAATCATTATAGACCTTTTCACTCATGACGTTGCCTTCTTCGTCTTCGACCTCAATAGCATTCTCCTTGAGCCCAACTTCATCTCTCTGCTGTTTCTTTATGCTGTTCCACAGCGTCACTGCTTCGTTGATGGAGGTTATACCCTTGAGCATCTCATTGGGCTCAATGCCATGGGCCTTGAGGCCCTGGGCATGACGAATCTCGGTGAAGTGCTTGTTGAATGCCTTCCGTCCTCTGTACTTGAAGGCACATATTTCGCATGGGTATTCGATCTTCAAGCCGTAGAGCTTGTAGAGCCAGAATGGGATGGGATGGCCATCTGATCCCAGTGGGAGGTTGTGTGGGTTGAATGATAGTGCCTGTCCATCCCCGTGTTCCTCTTGCTCTCCTTGGTCATCGTCATCGTCATCGTTGCCACTAGAAAGCTCCTCCTCTTGTGCCAGCTGGTCGATTTCAATGAGCCGTTCCCTTTCACTGAGGGCCATTCTTCTGATGGTGTTGTCGATGGTGTTCTTACGAGTCTCAGCAAGCACTCCTGTCGTTAAGGATGCAATGAGAAACTCGTACATCTTGAAGTCTCTCGACTGCTTCTTCGTCTGAGCATTCTTGAGATGTTTCTTGCCGGTTAGATGAGAGTCGAACACTGTTTTCTTGGTGAACGTTCGTCCGCACGGTTCACAGTATAAGTTATCAGTGGTGAAGCGTTCAGTGGCCTCTGTGATGAATGACTCCAGCTCAAACAATGGCAGGGATCTCTGCAAGAACCCTTTCATATAGTCAAACATGGAAATGAGGTACTTCAAGTACTCTGAGTTCTTGGTCACGGAGTCGTCAGTTATCCCAAACTTATCAAAGATTTGGAGATACTGGACGTACCCAACCTTGTCAGTAGACAGTTGTAACCACTGTTCATGGAACTGGACCAGGTCAAGGCACTTACCTTGGAACTCCTCTCCGCTGAACATCCCTCTGAGGGTCAAATCACCGCCAATCTCACTCAAAATTGTAACCTTGGAGCTGCCCATACTGTATGACGTAGACAGCGGCTTCACTATGGAATTTGCGCTTTCCTCCTTAATCACCTGTAACAGAGCATCGAACTCATCCAGCGACATCAGCGGAAACGTCGAGTCCTCGTCCAATTTACACCTTTTCTTGTAATTCTCGGTGAATCTCTTGATCTCATGTTGCTGTAGTAGCATCTCTTTGTAGGGTCTCTTCTTCTTGTTCTTCAGCACCTCGCTTGAAAGCTTCACCAGCTCGGGATTACGCCTGATTCGTTGTGTTATCTCATACTCAATGGTCTCTAACTCTTCAAGTGCGCTTCTGTGCGATTCCATCTTCCCTTTAGTTTACGCCCCTGGTGCTGAATTATGGGTTGAGGCTCTCGAGAAAGTTTTTCACTCCGCTCTTTTTCACTTCATCTCGGAGCCATCAACATCAACATCAACATCAACAAAGGGACGGAAAGCCAATGACTTTGGTGAAGATTTGTGGGCTGAAAGACGTTGAGAGTGCTCTTGTGGCCCTGGACTCCGGTGCTGACCTCGTCGGGTTTATCATGGTGCCCAACAGAGACCGTACTGTGGATCCTGAGGTTGCCTCTTCAATAGCTCAGCTGTGTAAGGAGAGACAATCTATGTCCAGCATAGACCTCCTCAGCAACCTCGATAAGGCCCATTGGACCGAGTCTGCTTACAAGTTGATAGCTGAGAATGGTCCATACGCCGTTGGAGTGTTTCGTAATCAATCGGTGGAAGATATCAACAACGCTGTTGAGTCACTGGGACTTGACTTTGTCCAACTCCACGGCTCTGAGCCGAGAAGTGAGTACATAGCAAAGATCAAAGTGCCTGTGATCACCAGATTCGTTCCAAATGATAAGGAGATTGCCAATGTAAACCTTGCCAGTCAGATTCTGACGCTATTTGACTCAGAAGCCGGTGGTGAAGGCACAACATTGAATTGGACTGAGTTGAATCAGTGGGGCGAGGAATCAGGGTCCACTTATGTGTTGGCAGGTGGATTGACACCTCTGAACGTTGGTGATGCTGTCAACATCAAGGGAGTCATTGGTGTTGACGTGAGTAGTGGTGTCGAGACAGATGGTGTGAAGGACCATGAAAAGATTAGACGTTTTGTACAGGCTGCGAAACAAAAATAAGTATATATAAGTATTATAATTGAAAGAGGAAAAGGATATGATGAGCGTCAAAGCTCTACGTACGTGACGGTCTGATGTTGAACAACCCTGCAATGTCCTCCCTGGAGAGCCTGGAAACGTTTCTCATGCCCTGTGGATCTATGGCACCTTCAATCAACGTCTCCTTCATGAGCTGCAGCTTCATGATACGATCCTCGACGGTGTCCTGCATCAACAAGCGATGAACAGTCACAGGCTTTACCTGACCAATTCTATGGCAACGATCCTGCGCTTGTAATTCAACGTATGGGTTCCAAAATGGGTCCATGATGATAACGTGGTTGGCACATGTTAGCGTTAAACCGGCATTGCCAGCTTTTAGAGAGATCAACATCAGTTTACTCTCTGCGTTACGATAAAACTCCTTAACACATTGGTTCCTCTCATCGACATTCATAGAGCCGAGGTATTGCAATGGTTCAACTTGAAGCTTGTCGTTGATGAATTTTCTTAAAATCACAAAGAAAGAGGTGAAATTTGAAAAGATGATGACTTTATCATCAGGATTTTCTGACCAAATCTTCTCTAATAGTTCAATACACCCCTTCACCTTTGGCGAATACTCCAGTCCACCATTCTTGATTTTCTCTGCTTCCTTCCTAGCTGCTTTGTTCCTCTCCTCCATGACGATGCGAATCATCTCAACACTTTGATTGTGGTTCACATGCTTATCAAAAACCTCACAATCAACGATAGCATTCTCGTTCACTAGGATCCGACAGCTCATACATTTGGCAAAGCGAACGTTATCATTGTTCATGCCTTCTTGGAACTGTTCAAAGTAGGATTCAACGCACTCCTTGCAGATGGCATGTCCACATGGAAAGAATAAAGTGTACGCCTCTGGTTCTGGTTCTTCATAGCAGATTGGACATGTAATGCCTTCCTCCATTTCTTCGTTGATACGTCTGACGGTTTCTGGTTGGAACCTCTCCGAGTTCTTCACCATAGAATCCACATTTGCGGTGGAAACAACATTACCATCGGCGTCGTAGCGAACACCTTTCTTACGATCACCAATACGAACCAGCTCAGAGTGTAGACAGGCTTGTCTCAAACGAAGCAATTGAACAAAAATGTACGAATAGTCACCTTTGGCAACGTTACGACTATTAAGGATCCTCGCCACCTGCTCCTGTGCTTTACCTTCAATGCTGCTGTAGAAAGTGGCCTCTGCTTCATTTGTTTGAATGCTGACATACTCCTTGGTAACAGTCTTCTCGGGGAGGTCCAGAATAGGCTTACCATCAATCAGCGAGGTCTTCTCACGCCTGAGCATCACACTTCTCAGAAGAATACGCAATTTGTTCATCGCAGCTTCAGTATAATACCCATCTTCGGTATCAAACCCATATTCGTGCGGTTCACGTTTCTTTTCCAAGAAATGTAGAATATCCTTTTTGAAATTGGACTCGACATTATATGGTTTAATACGTAAGAATCTCAACAATGGAAACAATTCACCAACATTATTTTGCATTGGTGTACCGGAGAGACACCATCTGTAATAACCGTCCAAACAAGCTGTTGAGATGGAAGCCTTGGTAAGCTTGTTTTTGATCTGCTGGGATTCATCTAGTACGATTCTGTAGAACTTTGAGTCCTTTGAGAAGAACGGTGATATATAGTCCCCGTCTTTCTTCAAATCATTCACCATTCTCATATTCGGTGGTGTTTTCATATCAAAAGACTTTTCGAATCCCGGAATGTTGCAATGCTTCTTGAACTCGGATGATAAGGTACCATACGACACAAGAACAACGTCGTATTTCTTCAACTGATCAAAGGTAACTCTACGGCCAGCCATAGAATGATACATGAAGACAGTCAAATTGGCAGAAGCTTTCACTTTCGTCTCCATCTCCCCCTTCCATTGGTTCATCAACGACACAGGTGCAACTATTAAATTTGTACAGCCATATGAAGCAATATTTGCCTTTGGAGATTGAGGATCCAGCTCTGCTTCCTCGTCATCCTCTTTCGCCCGACGTGAAAGCATGAGAGCGATCATTTGCACAGTTTTACCTAAACCCATAGCGTCTGCAAGGATACCACCGCATTTCTTATGATCGTCCTCAGTATCTTCAAGCCATTTCAAACCACGTTTCTGGTGAGGTAACAGATTGACGGAGAGATCGTTGGGAGTGTTTGACTCCCCTTCAACTTCCTGTTCCTCTTGCTTCTTCACCGACGTTAGAAGGCTGAGCAAGTCATCTGTGTTGTAAACATTGAGACCTAGTGGGTTACGTCGTAGCATAGCGTTCCTCTCTTCCTCCTTCCTTCTGCGTTCCAGCTCTGCCTTATTTCTTTCTTCCCTGGCACGAACCTCTTCCATCATCTGTTGATATCGACCATTCTGAAGCACCTGTCGTAATTGTTGAAGCTGGTCGGAGCTTGAAGCACCTCCATTCTGACTACCATTGGCTACAGCCTCAGCTAAACTTCTCTCCTTCTGTAATCTCATCTCCTCAGCATGTTTTCTACTTCTTTCGAGCTTTTCGAGACGCTCAGCTTTCTCTTTCTTCATCTTTTCATCAAGAAGCGCACAGATCTTCGGCTTAGCAGTGTTGACAAACAGTTGCAGTTTCTTTTTAGTCCGTTTCATCCCATGTTCAACCTCAGCTTTCTTCTTGAAGTTTTCCTTCGCTTGTGATGAAAGACGTTGCATTTCCTTCTGCAAAGACGCAACCTTTTCGTTAGACTCATCCAAGCCCAATCTAAGCAGTTGGTCTCTATTACGCTTGAGCTCAACAAGTCTCCCAGGTCTGTGCTTTTCTCTTAAGGCCAAAGCCTCGAGACCAATCTTGTACTTAGAGATTCTTTGCTCAAGCTCAGCTTGTCGTGCCTTCACATCTTGCATACTGTGGAAAACAGTGTTCTGGTACTGTATCGCCCCAGAGTCAAGAATCTTCAAGCCTTGAATCCCCATATAATTGTCTGTAGGGTTCACGGATATGGCTGGATCTGCTTTAACAGTGACTTGACCATAAGTTTGTTTGTTTTTCGGCACAAACTTGAATGTGGCTCCTTCAGAGAGCCCACCGTCCCTGTTAAGCTGTGGATTAATCCATCCAGGTCTATGAGCAGCAGATAACACGGGTTGCTGTCCATAGGCCCGTGGGTTGTTGTGGATGGTGTTGTTAGCCACTGGGCCTTGAACTGCAGCACTTGTTGTCATTCTATCGAGTCCCTGACGGGCAGTCATAGCCACAGCCCTTGAACCGCTCTCAAGATCTTTGGACGAGCTTCCTTGTTCAGTGACTGGCCCCGCTATAACACGATTTAGCGGCGTTGCTACTGGAGCTACCGGTGTCTGTTGTCTTCCGCCGTCAGCATGAGCGCGTCCCTCTGGCCTCCCATTTGAGCCCGTAACAATAACGGCATCCCCACCGTGAAGTCTCTTCAGAGGAACCTGGTGGGCTGTTTCACTCTGCCCAGCCAGCGCTGTGACGTGGTGTATGCCCGTGATGATGATATCATCGTCATCAGATTCTGACCCGCTGCTCCTCGTCAAATCCACCACAGAAAAGGGCTTGACCTTCTTTCTCGGCGGTACCTCCATCTTGTAAGTAAGCTCAGCTGTAACAGACCCGCTGGTTCAATCCTCTGCCGGTTTTGATAACTGAAAACTCAGCTTTGTTGTTATTCGATTGTTTACTTTTGGTGGGAGACCATCTGTCCATTTTATCATTTTTGTGTCTGTCTTTTTTTTGCTTAGCGAGCAGGCGCGTACGCGCCGCGATTTTGTTTTTTTTGTTGGTTTTCGGAATGTTCTGGAAATCGGAAATTTAAGGCGTGTTTTGTACTCTATGTCTAAGCTATTATATTCGTATTAGAATGATAAATTCATTACATAGCAAATAAGTTGGGTATATTAGTTCTATATTGGTCACCATTCTATAGCCTTCTCCTTCTGAACAACTCTGACAAGATCACCCCAGACTTTACCACCTCCTAGTACTGTTTCATCGATGATGGGTTTGGCAGTTGCTGGTGTACATCTCGCTAGCCACAAGATCTCACCTGTTCTAAGGTAGATTATCACATTAGCTGCATACTTGTGACCACCAACGTGGTTGATGAAGGATACGTGTACACCATCCTCGCTATCGTCGCCAATGTCTCTGTAATTGCCGGTTTCTCTTAGTCTGGCATCCATCTCTTTCTTCATCAACGGTGCAGTAATCGCACAGCGTTTATCTCTGGTCTTGTGTGAGCACAGAAAGATGTATGCACGGGCCTCAGTCTTATCCACAGCGTAGCCCTGAATCTCAGCTGGTGGTTGCGCTTGTTCATTGCGGGCTTTGATGAGCTGTGGAATCAGCTCTGAGAGCACCGCGCCAACGTTCTCAGCATCAACACGACGAACCCATACAAAGAAAGGCATGATCAGGACATCACCACGCTGACGCTCCATGGCTTTGGGATCCATAAAGTCAATAGGAAGAGAAGACGTCGAGCATTTAACGCTTCCATGGTCAAACAACCCTGATGATTCCTTTTCAATCCATTGAACAATGTTGTTTTCAATGGAGTGCGGTGTGCTTGTAGCGTCATGTTGCCAGTCGCTTTGGCCTGTAGGGACGATAAAATGGCAAGCTGTTTGCTTAGCACTGTTGTAGATGTCCTCAGAAGTGTCAATCTTGACGGAGGATGGGTACTTCGTGGTGCACGATTCACACTCATGAGAGCATTCACTGATCGGCACAACCTGACTAATCTCCTGGTCTCTCTCCGCTGAGTGATCTTTCTTGAATATGCTTTGTAAGAAGTTCATCTTGTGGTGAAGTGTAACCAATCGCACGCTGTGTGTTTGTAATAGTAGTCTGTCCTATGGTCAAAATGAAACACACAGCCAACCGCACAAAGGATATACGGACGGGTCTTTCTACCACACTTCAACTATCCCACTGTCTAGATGAAGATAGAGAGCAGACAAGAGTGGGAAAACTTTTCTTTCCAGTTCTTCTTTTTCCCACTGCTTGCCCTTTAAAGGAATTTTGTCGGATCTGCTATGGCTTTTTCGGTGATACGCGGCATTAGCGTGTTTCTATCGGATATTGCTGTTACCCTTGGCGATGTCCGGAAGTATTTCCACTTTTGGACTTTTATGCCAGTCATTGATGCCAATGATGGAAGGAATTCCCATCTCCATCATGGCTGGAAAGGTTGATATTGGCGAGTTCCATACACATTTCAATTCATGCATAAAGAGTATCGAAGCGATTCGTTCGCAGGATGACAAGAGGAATGCGATAGCACAGCTCAAGAAAGAAGTGGAAGCGGTTGCACACCTTCTGCCGAGTTATCAACAGTTGTCGTACAGTGAGGCGATCAAGCGTGAATTGGACTCTCTGGATAAGCCCAAGACGAGGTTCAGGTTCACACAGCGTAGTCGTCAACCGGATCCCAGCAGAAAGGAGCTGAAGAAGTTCGAAGACAGCGCAGTGACGCCCACTGTCACCGGCGTCAAGGGGACACATCTAACGCTTGGACAGTCTAACGTCCTTCTCACAGAGCTGGATAGTTGTACTGTTAGAATCAAGAACGCCTCCACAGTGACACTCAAGAGTGTCAACAATTGCACGTTCGTGGTCGAGTGCTCAGGCCCTGTTTTCATCCAAACCGCTTCATCTTGTCTATTCTTCATCGGCTGTCATCAGCTAAGACTGCACGGTCTGTCTAACTGTCAAATAGACGCTACGATCCCATCTGGACGAGCCGTTATCGAAAACTGCCATGGGCTACAAGTTCATGGAGTCGAAATCGACGATTTTGACTATCCGAACGGGAAAAGCCCAAACTTCACTCTCGTTCAGTTCGACCACTCCGTACTGAAAAGAAGAGAAGAAATACTACAAATGGGTGTATAGGCATTATATAATCAACGCTAAGCACCACAAAGGCCTTTGTATTTCAGCGTTGTGCTTTGAAACACACTGAACAAGTAAGCCAAACAAAAAAGTAAACAAAACAGAAAAGTAAACAAAACGAGCTCGCGGGAAGGCAAAAAAAAAGTAAACAAATGGTTATGAAGCCCCGTTTGTTTACCTTTTCCGAATTTTAATTAGGCGCGCGGCCGTTGTTTATTTTGCTTTTGTGGTTGTTTCACATTGTTTTGCTTTCTTCTCTTTATAAACAAGTCAAAAACTACAACGAAGGTGAAGGAAGAAGAGCACATCAGGTCACCATGGCGAGCCCAAGGAAGAGCATTGCATCTAGATACCTTGATAATCTTCCTCAACAGTCAGTACCGCTACAGCCATCCGCTAAGGTGAACACTCCGCCGTCGTCACCGACGAGGTTAAAGACTTCCAACGTCTTTGTTGAGAGGAGCTCCCCTGCAAAATTACAAACTGCAAATGTGTCTAGGCTTGAGGAATCCATTGCCGGTCTGAAACTGGACAGTCCTTCTCCGCTGAAGAGAGGCACAGGCAACGAGTTGAGCTCAAAGGCCCAGCCTGCTCCACAGTGGACGTTATCCAATAGATCTAGCCAGAAAGGCTATGAATATCTATGCAGAATTTCCGAGGCTAAGAAGTGGATGGAGGGTGTTATTGGTGAAGATATTCCATCAGAAGCTGAACTTGCGACAGACGGGTTGAGAGACGGTGTCGTGTTGGCAAAGTTGACTAGACACTTTAGACCTGACCTTGTCAAGAAGATTGTTCCTGCAGGGAAGTTGCAGTTCAAGCACACTGAGAACATCAACGTGTTCTTCCAATTCTTGGACTCGATTCAAATGCCTGACTTGTTCAGGTTTGAACTTACTGACCTTTATGACAAAAAAGATATTCCAAAGGTTATCTTTTGTCTACATGCGTTGACTTTCATGATGTCACAAGATGCAAACACCCCGGGAATTGAAAAGCTCAATGATAAGTTAAACTTCTCTCATGAGGATATAAAAAAATCAGAAACAAGCTTGAGAGGTGCCAAATTGCCAAACTTTGACTCAATGGTTAAACAATTCGGAAGGGAAATCCCACAAAGCCCACGAAAGTCCTCTTCTATACCGCCATTGAAGGAAAAATTGACTCCTGAAGTGCCAACGACTTCTTCTTCTTCTTCTTCCAGAAAGAGTACTTTGCAAAGTCCATTCTTGGAATTTGAAGATACTAGCTCACCACCTCCATTCCCGGTCACAACTGGAAAATTGAAATCTGCCTGGGAGCCACGACAAACAATCCTGGAACCAAAGATGATAGAAGAAACAGTACAGACCCAACTGGTACCTGAATATTCTTCTTCATTTGCTGATAGCCTTGTGTCAAGTTACGATGCTTCTCCAAGGAAACAGAAAAAGTTATCTGACCGTGAGCTTCTGAACAATATCATTCGTTTTCAATCTATTTCAAGAGGTTCGATCTTCCGCTATAATATGTTTATCGATAAAATCATGTTAAAATCAGTCGCTGAGAACGTTGTCCAATTGCAATCCTTGGTGAGAAGACATCTATCACTGAAGAAATATCAGACGGATACGAGGGATATTAGTGGTATGGAGGCTAACGTGACAAAATTACAATCCATAATTAGAGGTAAATTACAGAGATCTGAAATCAATGATGTGCAATCACAACAGCCAAATGATAAAACTGTTGAACTTCAAAGCTTCGCGCGTGGTTATTTGGCAAGGTCTAAAGTGAATCGTATAAAAAACCAACTGTCTTACAATCTCCCGAAAATCATTCAAGTCCAGTGCTGTATAAGAGCAAATGCCGTCTTTGATAGATCCCAAAAAGCTATCAAATCACAAGAGATTATCACAAATTTCCAGGCTCATATCCGTCGTCATCTGCTGTATAAGAAGCTGCATAGATCTGTCAAGGAGGCACATACGGCTGAGGATGCAATTACGATCATTCAATCACAGATACGTGGATCAACAGTCAGATCTATGTTACACATTAAAAAGAAATTGATCTTAACTGAGTCAATCCCAATATTGGAATTACAGTCTATCGCCCGTGCTGGTTTGGTGAGATCGAAGCTAAACGTGATTCTAGATAATTTGGATCTTCAAGAGCCTGCTTTGAATAAGTTTTGCTCTGTTGTTAAGGGGAAACTTGTCAGATCTCGTATCAAAGGAATTAAACGGGATTTAAAGGCTTCTTCCCAATCTGTCATCTTGACCCAGAGTCAGGTTCGTGGTGTTTTATCCAGATATGGCTTGGAGCTGATTCTTGATGATGTTGATTACTATCTGGATGAAGTTGTGGAGTTGCAGTCTCTGATAAGGAGATATCTGTACCAAAAGTCAAAGAAGGAAGATATGATTTATTATGAACAACACCTAGAAGATATTATCAAGATTCAAAGTGTTATCAGAGGTAAATACTTGGGTAATGCTTACAAATCCCTGATCTCCATGCATAATCCACCATTGTCAGTGATCAGAAAGTTTGCCTATCTTTTGAATGATAATGATGTTGATTTTGAAGAAGAAGTGAAGCTTACCAGACTCAAGGAATCAATTAATGAAAAGACAAGCTCTAATGAATTGCTTGAGAAGCATATCAGTCAATTGGATTTGAAAATTGCCCTATTGCAGAAAAATAAGATTACTTTGGACGAGCTGTTGCTTCAAAAGAACAAGGACGTTAGAATTACTGCATCAGTATCTACCATTGATGTGACCTCTTTGAATAGAAGGACCAAGAATAGAATGGAGTTGTATGAGAAATTCTTCTACCTGCTTCAAACTCAACCGCTTTACCTTACAAGACTGATTCACAGTGATTATCGTGGAACTGACTTAGCATTGAAGGTCTTCCATGACTTACAATCCAAAGATCTTCCAACCAGAGAAGAATATCTGTTCATTCGCTTAGTCGATAGTCTTTTAAGTGACTTCATTTCAAAATCCCAATCTATACATGATCTTTGGAAGCATAACACAACAGGGTGGCAGAGGCTACTTCATACATTTAATGAGACTCAAACAGTACCACTAAGGTCATTGTTTGGTACCATGGTTGAAAATGTGTTGAATGATGAGGATCTTGACTTTGAGAGTGATCCATTGATCATCTACCAGAAAGTTAACAATACTCCAAAGATTCTACCTGTTGATAAGGCTATTGAAGATGAATCCACTAAACAGGCATTTGTATACAACTTACAACAGTTAAGGGAGTATGGATCTGAGATTTTCCGTATTATCAGTGATAATGTGAAATTGATACCCATTCACGTTAGACTTTTGGCAAAAAGCGCTTATGTTACATCAGCTAAAAAATTCCCGCATCTATTAGAGCAGGATCATCTTGGAAATGCTGGCTTTGTACTTATCAACGGATATATTCGTACAATTTTCGAGTCCTACGATAAATTTGGAGTTTCACCTCTCAACAAGGCGACCAGAGCTGATAAAAATTTGCATGGAATCTGCAAATTGTTGACACAGATGTTTGTCATGAAACCGTTTGGTTCGAGTGATATATATTTGCAACCCTTGAACAAATTTATCAACTCGTCACTTGAAGGTATTCGTTCCTTAATCAAAAGTGTCATCGATGTCAGTGAGATCGATACGGTTTACAATATGACTGTGTATGACGATATGACGGCTCACAAAAGACCTAAGTTAACACTAAGAATTTCGGATATGCTCTCCATGAATCAGTTGATCGATAAGTATATTGATATTGTTGCACCTTTGTCCGATGACACTTTGAGGGAGATTCTTATTGAGTTGAGATCATGCAATACTGGTGATATTACGAGATTAAATGGTTATTATACCTTGAACTTGAACCCATCAAGTTATAGAGCTTCACCCGATGATAACATCACCAAGTCACTTTTGATGCAAGCCAAAAGATGTGTATTGTACCTTGTTCAGGTTCAGGATGAGTATAATGATTTGTTCAACCTTTTGAAGTCAAAGATAGATCCTATTGATGAGATCAAGTTCAAGAGAATCATCAACGCTGAGAACAAGGATATTGAGCACAACCGCGTGAATGATTACACGAACAATGGTCAAGGTTTCTTGGGAGATTTGACTAAGATTTCGTATCACAAGCTGAAAGAAATTGCTCTTGAAAGAATTCTAGAGCTCGAGACTATGTCCATTGTGACTAGACGTGATTCCTTCCAGCTTTTGCTGAATGAGATCGCACACGACATCAGAACCAAGCATGACCAAAGACTTTCACGTAAGAAACAGTTGAGCATTGCGCAAAATACGCTTTCACGCTTGGGAGAGAAGAACAAATTCTTAGAAGATCAATTGAAAGCGTACAACCATCACATTGATAAATCTATGGAGGAATTACAATCGAAACCAACAAAACCAAAAAGAATTTTGCCCTTCACTAAACAGTTCTTTTACGAACGTGAATTGAAGAAATCTGGGAAACTACCCAAATTTGGAGCGTACAAATACTCTTCAAAGAGACTCTATGAGAAGGGTGTATTGGTCGAACTTCGTGGTTTGGATCAAAACTTGAATTCATCCGGCTCTTCTTTCTTTGGAAGTATGAATTTCCCTAAAGTCGACTTCATGTTTAGTTGTGATCGTGCTGGTGAGTTCAACATCTCTTGTAAATCGTCGAGTATTGCAGTCAATGGTAATTTGGAAACGTTGACTATTGATCAATTCTTAGAGTATCAGTTTGAAAACAAATCCAAGATTTCATTATTCGGAGGAATGGCCAAATTTGACACCAATTGTTTGATTGATTTTATCTTCAAGAAGTTTTACCATAATGAAAGTTGATGTTGCTTTTTCCCTTTTATTTTGTTTGTATACTTGGTTTAAAGACAATTTGTTCATATATTTACTTGCTTGTTTAGCCCTAGTTCATTATCTGTGGATCAACATTATCCTTCTCATTGTCATTGACCACTGCCTGTGCAACTGCTTCCAACTCCTCGTGGTTATAATCAAAATCCTTGTCGCTATCTTTACCATCTTCGCCATCACTTTCATTGTTGTTTGCATCATTATCGTCGCTATCATCATTGCTATCATCATTATTATCATTATTCTCTTGATTGTCAGCTTCAAAGACTTGTCTCTTTGCCTCTTTCCTAACGTACACGTCCCTGTTCTTCAAGTCAAACAGTGAAATGTCCTGCAGGGCCTGTTGTGCTACGCTCCTCAGCTCTCTTGCCCAAACCTCTAGTTTTTCCTCATCTGTCATGGTAAGCCATATCTCTGAAGACTTCTGCACTTTCCCCATGACTTCGTTGTAGAAGTTCATCTCCTTGTCTGCTAAGAACTGCTCATTCAAAGAGCCACACAGCTGTCTATAAGTCTCTAGAGATGGAGGCTCACTAGGCCATTGGTTAGGCTTCAAGAAATACAACACCAATCTTGGGAAGGTTGGATTGTCTTCCAGTTGAGGTTTACCCAGTCTATCAAAGAATTTGCGTATTTCACGGTACTTGGCCCTTTGAACCCTCTCTACGCTCTTTCTATTCAACCTCTTTCGCTGCTTAACGTCATCCCTGGCATTGTACCTTCTCGCTCTCAGTTTTCTTCTCTCCTTGATCAGTTCAGCATCACCACGGCGTTTCACCTGGGATCTCATCTGTTCGATTACCGATGAAGGGTGGTCCTTCGACCCTTTTTTCAAGTCCAGATGTCTCCCCATGGAACCTGGATGGGAAAAGGTCTTTTGACAGAATGGGCATATCTTTCTCGGGTCCACGCCCTCCGGTATCTGTGGTACACCTTCAACGTCAAATTTAACAGAGTCAGAGTTGAAGGACTTCGGAATCGTCACCGTCTTCACGTGTCTCGTTACACCCTTTTGATGTTCAAGGGCTCTTCTATATGCCTCTATCGAAGGGTCTATGTAGGTATTATTATCCAAGTTCAAGTCAACTGTGAGCACATTGCCAACATCGAGGTGTTGGATGTACCTGCTTATGTTCTCATCCTCGTGTTGTTTCATCATCTCTGGATGGAATGGAGTGGTTGGTGAAGATGAGAGAAACAGAGAAGGTTAGCTTGAAGTGAATTCCGATATTTTGCAAGAATCAAATTCCGATTTTGGAATGTCCAGATGTTTGGGTGTCCGGGTGTTCAGGTGTCCAGGTGTCCAGGTGTTCTTGTCAACACGAAAAACGCGTTCGCTGTCAGCAAAAAAAAAAGGTCCAAACTGCAAACTTCAGATTAACAGCAAATCAAATACGCAAGCAACGATTCTCACTTTTCAAAGAAGAAAGGAATTACCAGTCATGTTTTGGTTTGCTTATCTTTTGGTACTTGCAATTGGTGTTACTGCCTCTTCAAAGATCTCGATCTCTATTCCTCCATTCGCTAAGGAGTGTATCTATCACGAGCTCACAGAAGAAAACAATGCATTGTTGGTGAGCTATCAAGTCCTTAGGGGCGGTGATTTTGAACTTGATTTCAGCATTATTTCTCCTAAAGGTGATACTATCATCAACCAGAAGGATGAAAAGTACGCTGACTTTGTTCTCAAGACTTTTGGGTTGGGTGAATACTCCTTCTGCTTCTCCAACCCTCACAAGGACCTTAAAAAGGTTGAATTCACATTGAAATTGGGAAATGGTGAGGAGAGTGAAAACACTACAGGTGTTAAGGAGGATGTCGTTGCGGATCACTCCTTATCAGAGATTGACAGAAACCTGAACAAGATTGAAAGAATCATGAACTACCTAAGAGCTAGAGAATGGAGAAACATGTCCACTGTGGAATCCACTCAATCTCGTATCGTCTACCTTTCAATGATTATCATCTTGTTGACCGTTGGTGTTAACGTTGCACAGGCATCTGTCGTTCAGTTCTTGTTTGCCGGTCGTGAAAAGAGTTTTGTTTGAATTGAACTACGAGGTGGGTCTATACATAATTTTATAACGAAAAGGCCATGAACGACAAAGCTGTATATTCATACGTAACAACTAATTTGCGCGTTCAGATGTACCACTCAATCTAACTGCAGCACCGTATTTTTGTAACTTTGTCAACAGAGCGTCACCTTGCTTGATCAACAATTGGTATTGCGCATTCTTATTATCAGGTCTGTTGGTTTCAATGATTCCATTGACCCTATCAATGACACAGTTCAACTTCTTATTTGGGATGAACTTACACAAGTCGTTGTCGAGGAATTCCACTGAGACTCCAAATGCATCAGCCATGGATTTGAGAGAGAGTGCCTTGTAAGACTCCAGCAGTTGCGCATATGCCTTTCTTCTCATCTCTCTAATGTAATAATTGGCATGCTCTGACAAGTATCTCGATGTTAGAAGAATCTGGTCATTTGTCTGCAACAGGTATTGGAAATATGACGAGTAATCACTAGTGTATAATGATATTGTCAACGACGTAATTGGCTCTAAAGAAGGCGTAACAGGTAGTAAAGATAACAACTCTGGCGAATCAATCACCTTACTTTTAAGGTCAACCCTGTTAAGGATAAGTACGCCTGCAATTGTTGCGTATTGTCCCAACTGTTCATATGTGGTGATTTCAGTGGAGGTGAAGGTCGCTAGGGAATCGATAAGAAGTGCTGAGGCGGTTTCGAAGTCCCTTATAGACAAAGAGTACAGTCCCTTGTACAGCTTGTATCTATTACGGCGTTCCCAGTCACCACCCTTTTCGATCAGAGAGTTTGTTTGGTCCAATTGTTTGGCAACAAACTGCTTATCGTTGAAGAAGAACCCAACCCTTGTTATTGTCAATGAGATATCGATCTTCACACCGGTAGATGGCGTCAATTCGAACGCCTTTCTCAAGGTGAGCAGGGCATTGGTCTTATCTCCAATCGTCGCATAGTACTCTCCCAACTTCTTGTAGCCCTCGGCAGTTTCCAATTGACCTTCATCCTTCTCTTCAACTTCCTTGATGGCATCTTTCAACTTGGAAATCTCAGCTTCGTTCTCCTTGGAGAGCTCGGCGTACAGCGATTCATCCCACTCCAATGCACCTGCACACGTTTCTCTGAGGTACTGGTAGAACGGAGCCAGCTTCTTGCTCTTGATCTGTTCAACCAAATACTCCCTCGCTTGTGGGTGGCGTTCTGACAGTTCCGGTTTCGTCAAGATGAAAGCCGCATCGGCCAATTCAAAGTCAGGGATTCTCTGTGTTGTTGAGCTCGTTGAGTCCGACATTCCGTCCTTCTTTCGCTTGTTAGTGCTTGCCGCTGTGGTTGCCGCTGTGGTTGTCCCTGGTGATGTTGTTGTTATTGTTGTTGATGTTGTTGTTATTGTTGTTGATGTTGATGTTTCGGCTTTGTGGTTGGCGGCAAAGCTGGTGGGAGTGGTGTTGGGATGTTTACTATTTTGTTAGGGCCACCAGTATTGAAAGAGCACTCTTCCACAGCGATGATGGCTTTTATCACTGTGTAAAAGGGGTGACTCCGTTGGTAGCCTCCATTGGTGGACAATCTGAGCAGAGACCCCGTGCTTGCAACTGGCCCCCTGGTGACGAGCGCTCCCCCCTGATTCTGTGTGTGGTTGCGGTTTCCCCGGCGCTCGATGCGATGACGTTCCAACGGCACCGGTGTGGTGTTGAGATGTCTCTGCCAGAGTAACAAGAGAGAGGCTTTACACTGAAAGTTCTGATGCTCTCGTCTCTC